TCTGAGACTTTCACTGACTGTGAAACGAAACGGTTTATCGGACACTTTCTCATCATCTGCGACGTTTTTAGGATAACGAACAAAGATAAATGACGAAGAAAAATAACATGCGCGCTTTGTTTAAATGATGAGTTATCGCATTTCCAATCCAAACTTGGTGCCACTATTGTCGAGGATAACGACACACCCTACCCCTATCTTTAGACAAGGTTAATGCTTTGGGTGAATGTTTAACAGATGCTTATGCTAATTTTCAACTCTCCCAAATTGAATCCGTAAGCGGAAACGTGTTCCCCCAATCCAGTTTTCTCGCATACTAAAGTATACAAACTTTTGAAAGCAATTAAACCTTCGATGTTACGCACGCAAGCATACCTGGCCTCTTCTAAAAGAAATGTGCTAAAAGGCTTTACTTGCCTTTAAAGCATATTTTGACCAACTTCGATAACAGGGAAGGTCCCAGGAAGCTGGAGAAGAGCTATGGTTGCGCCCATACTCAACTGTGCAGCACAAAAACAAGGTTTTCGAGTTTAGACCAATTAGCATTTCATCTACGCCTTGCAAGATCATGGAGAAAATCTTGGCAAAATCTATCTCAAAGTAGTGCTCAGAAAACCACTTTCTACCCGATGAACAACATGGATTTATACCTAGATCTTCTAACCTACATAACTGGTAAAATTGCTAAGATTGGATTATGGCACACATCCGGCACTTCTACACCTACATAACTGGTGAAATTGCCAAGATTGGATTATGGCACTCATTGTTAGCGAAGGGAAATTAGGCAATACCATATATAATACTAGTTGGCTTTTCCCAGTCCAGCGCGGGCCATCGTTCATCGCACTGCGAGCCCCCTTTCCCCGCCCTATATGGTATGGATGACTTACCCTGGGAATCCGCTTGGAAACCGCATCCTCGTGATTCTGAGGTGAAAATGAGCTTCACCGCCCTCCTTTACATGAGTATGGAAAATGCTTGATTGATCATGATAATCCTGCAATTCCTTAGGAAAATGTAAACAAATGAATAAATCGATAGAGGGACCCAACGAAACGCCTCAAAAAGTAGTCTATCATCTGCGCAAGGGTTGAAAACATGTTTGCGAAGTTTCAGCTGAATCGGTTGAGTGGCGCGCGTTTCTATAACGCACATATCCTCCAAACTGACAATTTTTGAGTTTATATCACACTAGCTGCCATTCCCGGTCCCGCCCGGGCTGAGGTTCCAAAGTGGCCGCATAGTGCCTGTTTGGAATCGTCATATGGCTTACCATTCCTCCATTTTCTTTGATATCTGTTCTTCTCTTCCTGCTTCAGCTCCGTGTTGGAACTGCGGCGCTCCTATGGTATCCATGGAAATTGCCTTCCTTCTTGAGCGCCTAGCTTCGTGAACCGCATCCTCCTCATCGCAAAACGTAAATGATCTCCACCTGCCTTAAAACTTAACTTAGAGGAATGGTTGATATGCTTTCATTTTCTTAGAAGTAAGTAAACAAATCGATAAATCAATAGAAGGACCCAACGAATTGTCGCGAAAAGTAGCCTATCTTCTGCGCTGTGTCTCATTTATAGGAGAACAAAATTCAACCTCTTCGGTACACACACAAAGGAGTCTATAAGCCACAAACATCCTTACAAACAAAGGTACAGTGTTTGAGTTTTATATATAGGGCTTATCAAATTAAGTGTCGTTCGCACCAGCATCTCCATCTTCACGCTGGACTCTGCGTCTCTTCCGCGGGGCTGCCCTCTAAGCACTTTCCCAGGGCGAGCGTGGGAAAAGCAGAGCCTCAATCGATTGGAAGTGATTAGGGAACATGTGCCGCAGAAGAGACGCAGAGTCCAGCGCGAACATGGAGATGCTGGTGCAAACGACACTCAATTTGATAAGCCCTATATATATATAGATATAATATTTCGATTCAAGTGAAGCATTTGATTCTGTCCATCATACTGGGCTTCTTACAAAACTTGAGAGCATATGCATTAAGACCAATCCTGATTAGCTTCGGATTCTATCTGAACGAACCCTTGAAGTTCTTTTCCAGTTTAGAAGTCTACAGCAAAATCCTGTACGTCGGTGTTTCTCAAGAAAATGCTCTCCCCCACTATTATTCAACATCTACACTATGGAACTACTACCAAACCTACTTAGGTCTCGGGCAGATATCACCGATTTCATCGTGACGATTTATCGCAACTAAACAAGTGTTTCATTGCATTTCATTGCATGCCGATCTCCTTGGATTTCGGTTGTGATAGTTACACGATCAGTCGTGTTGAAAAATTATCACAACCGAGATGCAAGAAGATTGGCATGCAATAATATTGTTACAGTTGTCTTGTCGCAATGAAATAGCGACGATGAGAATCGCGTGAATCCTGCCCGTGGCCTCAGAAATTATTCTCGTATTAGTGACATCAAAAACTTTGGCAGTTACAATAACAATAAGCGTCTAGTGATACGCGAAAACTTGAGAATGTCTTTCTTTCAGAAGTCTTATATTGCAATTAGGCGCTGTTGACTTTGTTAGATTACGAAATTCCCTTACAAGTTCAGCAAAATGATGAAGACCTGTGATTAGATTCCCTTCTAAGTTTTCGTAACATACTGATGATGTTGTTTGCAAAGCCTCACGCATAATGTACACCTTGCTAAGAAACGTACATGTTCATGATATCTGCACTCGGTTGATCTGGAAAGCTTACATACTTTCTGTTTCGGAATATTGCTATATATCTAGTTATATCTAGTTCGAGTCCTGATATCAAGAATCTGATTGAAAATCTGGAAAAAGTTTAACGTCCACTTACCAGGATCTAATTTCAACGATTCTTAAATACTGAGTGTCCTCAAGCTCTTTTTGATTAGAAAACTTGACTGAGCATGCTGGACTTGAAAGCTTATATCACAGAAAGTTAATAGCTAATATATTGTTAGCATATAGCATGTTCATATCTTCAGCACGTTTTTAAAGGCAGTGTTCAGGCAAATCTGGGCACATGGGTTTTTTGCCTGGAAATTGATGAGGGGGTCCTAACTAAGGCACTGCCCAAAGGCTGCGCCAATTATTTCGCTCAGAACTGAGAAATCCGTCCACGAAAACTCCGCGCCTGCGCCATGACCGTAACCCGAAAACGACTTCGCTCTAAAGCTACGTATGCGCCGGAACCCACCCTAAGTATTACGGTCACGGCGCAGCGCGGAGTGTTGTGTGTGGATTTCTCAGCTGTGAATGGATCATTTGCGGTTTGGGCAGTGCCTTAGCTGGGATCTCCTCTTCAGTTTCCAGGCAAAAAACCCATATGCCCAGATTTGCCTGGACACTGCCCTTTCAGACTTCTGTATTTACCGTACCACTAGTGTCCGTCGTTTTAGAATCAATGTTTACTCACAAAATTTTAGGAAAAGGCGACGTAGACTACATGATTCCTTTGCTGCCTACATATGTCGTCTACTGAATAAATTTCCTATAAAGTTCATAACCTAAGATCCATATAATTTAAGGATCTTCCTAATCAAACACAAATGCCTTGACAAATTTAGCTCGAACTGTATTCCTTCCCCGTTGAGATATTTTGTCTCTTCTTATGATTATCTTCCCTTCTTGCTGTATTTTTAGAGCAAGTTTTAGGAGATCCACACTGACTGGCTCCCAATTACACAATTATAGTAACAGCGAAACCATTATTTACCCATGATTGTATTGAAATCTACGAATTTTCCAGCACTTTTTTCTGTAGAGCTCAATCATACTATTGGAAACTCTGAGTTTGCACATCAATCATCATTTCGTTGCTTGAATACGGAGTAAATGAAGGGACCAGTTGAGACATTTATGCATGTATGTATGTATGTAAAGGCTATTGCATGACGAAGGCGCAGAAGCAGTATAGGTTGAGCGAGCGTAAACGCGACGCGCGCGTATCTTCACCACTGTAAATTCTGCGCCTCATGCGCTCTGCGGCTAATGAAGCCGCGTTCGCGCCCGGAGATATTGCGCCTTCGTCATGTAGCAGCCTATATATGAGTGGATAGATCAATGGACGGACTGGTGCATCATGTATCACTCGAAAATGACCTGCTACAAGAAGTACTTCATAACATTCCGTTATAGCTAAAACAGAGAACGGACGAGCGCACGAGGACACATTCTCCCGGATGCAAGCAGAACGGCGCTCATTCGCGAACCTCGTTTCAATATCGAGGCTCTTCGTATCAAAAAAGGATGCAGTGTAGAGGAATAAGACCGAAATGAGAGATATCTAAGCAGGGAACGAGACCTGGTGACCCTGGCTATCCATAATGGCTTGTATATCAAAAAATGCGCCTTCTAATGCTGGTTCGAATAGTGTTTTCCATATCTGCGAAACGCGAACTGGATGGAGTTATAATTACTTTTCAAGAATAACTTGCCCTTCTGCGGAGGATAAAAATCGCTAATCGCTAATGAAAATTTTTCTTTCCTCTCTAAATGCTAAATATGGTTTAGACAGGTATAAATACAAAGTTACACCTTCCAATATTCTCCTCAATAGTTTCAAACGGTAAAATAGAGATAAAATTGGGTGATTTTAACTACCTTAAAATACGCAAATTTTCTACGGAAAAAAGTTTATAACTGCTTTCATATGATCGCTTCGCAGATATCGAGCACAGATTTGGAATCAGCGTTTCGAGGCGCATCTTACGGTGTAGATCGCATTCCAAATGACCGGGGTCACCAAATATCATTTCCTTGTAAGTGATAAACCGAAATCACCAACTATCGCAGCTCGAAACCGCATGCGGGCGGCTGCAGAGCAGCACAAGGCACAGTCCGAAATGCTCGAACTGTTCCAAAACTTCCGAATTAGTATAAAAACAGCCTAGAGTAACTCAGTTGCACGTCCCCCAGCTTTGAGCCAACCATAGCTCAATTTGGTTGAACTCTACAAGTTTTTCGAACTTTAAATAAACAATTTCTTTGCAGTGTAATGGCTCACAACATGACTGAAGCGCGTTGTCTCCTCCCTTTATTTCGATCAAATAGCATATAACAGAAAAATAAGGATGGTTTGAAAAAAACTCAAGCGTTCTGAGAAAGTTTTGAAGCTGGGAATTTTTTTTCTTCGATTTTCACGATTTTCATAGCCGTTTTTAGCTCCTTCGCTCGTTCCTCTCTTGCGAGCTTTCTTCTCATCAATGCACGTTTGGCCTCGAAATACGAAACTTTCTGAAACCATCGAGTATAACAGGAACTTCTGATGATTTCAACGGATGTCGACTAACTCCCTCATGCTTTTTCGCAAAATCTTCCATTGCCTTAACATACTCTTTCACCGTCATATTTTTGTTACCACTAAGAGCACTATACTCCTCAAATTCTTTGGCTTGCTTCTCAAGTTCTTCCAATACCATTCTATCAATTTTCTCTTTGTCCTCTCTTGTGCCAAAGGTTCGCTGAAAATGTCCAACCGAGATAATTTAATCTTATAGCCATGTCGGCGAATGTTCGTCATTATAAGTGTACAAATTAATTATATAAAATATTTAAAAAACCTCCATTTTTGCCATCCGTTCCATCTGCATTTGTTCCAGCTCCGCTATAGTTTTGTTTTCAAATTTCTTAATAACATTCTCAGCTACTGGTCTCAGATAACGGTGGTAAGTTCTATGGTAGCTATACATTTGTGAGTTTGCGATGGAAGTAGTCAAAAGAAGAAGAACAACTTGAACTGCATACATCCCTGCAAAAAAAAGTATAGTAAGAATAGCCGAGATAGGAAGCAAGATGTGAATGTGACATATGAAGCACAACAAAATGTTATGCACTTATAGCGCCTTAAAAGCACTTGTCTTCAATTTACATAAAAACATGGAAGACGCCATTACATGTTTTTTATAATTGTTTCATCCCGCATCAGTCCTTTGATGATCGATTACTGATGTCTAGCTACAAAGAGAGGAGTGTAGCTGTTCGAATGGTTTGAAGTATAAGAGTTCGAATGGTTTCAAGGGGTTCATATTTCCTATTCTGTGTGTTTCAGCGGAATCATAGCTCCTACACTTTCCAGCTCCATGTGATTCTTGTTGTGATCAAAATAAGCAAACCAACTGTTATTAAACCTCCATTCTGCTCTCAAATTTTCACATTTCGCGAACTAACTTAACGGCACGTCAAAAATCTCAGCTAACGACGTCCGGCAGGCGTCGGATTTACCCGGTTTAATAAGCTTATCCATTCGCTATTGGTCAATTCGGTGACCTGACTAGTAGCGAATGGGTGAAGCGCATGGACTGGTTGAAAAGGACAATCCGCTTAGCCGCTTCATGATTGATCAAATCAGTGATCTGACCAATCAGCGAAATGGATAAAGCGCCCAAGCGATAAGTCTGGCTCTGGTCTAAAAAAACACTATCTCTTCTTTTCCCGTCATTTATGCACTAAATAATCGGTCTACATAGCTGACATGAGATGTCCACAAATAGTGTTAACGGCAACGTCCACATTAATCTGGCACGTCACACCAAACTTACAGTGTGGCCCTAACTGAGGCACTATCGCAGCAGCAGCGCGTATAAATAGCCAAGAAAATCATGCCTATGTCCCTAATACAGGGCTCGGCACAGGTGGCACCGAGTCAAGCTGTATATCGTTTTTAGGACGGAAAGCAAAGGGGACATCGTTTTTCTGGGGTCCGGGGCGGAGAAGAACCGCCGGCATGCCACCGGCATGCTGCCCATCAAACAAACAGAAGAGTTGTTTTCAGCCAAAACGCAATAGTATGACACCAAATTTGGTGTGTGCCATACGCACTGGAGGACTAGAACTACGGCGCAAAGATTCATGAAAACTTATGTGAATGAAAGCTTTGCTGAACTTTTTTCTGAATTAGAGGGCACCGTGTTAGCCGGGTGCCAGCTGAGCTGGCACCGATACTTTGCTCACATAACTTTTCATACTTTTTTACATAGAATGTATCTACCCTGTAAAAGTTTACATACAGAGAAAAAAACTTCATGATGTTTTCTTGTCAGCGTTTTATAGCCATCTAAAAATTACTCGATCTGTTCCAGTTCGAAAAATCGGCTTTTTCTGCTTCTCAAGATGTGGTTCAACCACTTAAAAAGCTCAGAAAGCTGTGAAAAGTTGTTCCATGAAATCAGAATGCATGAAATCCCTACTACATACTTTTACATAATCTAAAAATAATGACGGGTCTTCAAAACAGGTCAAAGAGAACTTCGATTTGAAATTTCCCTACTGCCAGCTCGTGCCGAGCCCTGCCCTAATATCACATAGCTAGCGACTCGCACATTTTTTTCTTGCTTTGGCAGAGGACGCGTTATGAGCGCGGTGGATCTCGAGCGGAAGTCCAAGTCGACGCAAGTCATCCCTCAAGTTCGCACTGGGGCGTTAGTTGAATTGTCCGTTGATATATCACGTGAGCTCTACCTGGATAGTGCCATAGGAAAGTCTATCTCGCACAATTTCGGCCGCCGCGCAATTCGGCACTGCTAAGATGGCCCATTATTATACTTAAGCGGTCTGTCGGTAAGTAAAATCCGACACACTTGCACTGGCTTACGAAAACTGTACGAATGTGGATTCAAAATCTGCGCAGTGGAAAAGTGACATCTATCAAATCAACCACGTTAGCATCTCCGCAATCGCAAGAAGTATGACCGAGGCTTGAGTCAGACGTAGCATGCGCTACGATTGTTCCATAGTCCATCGCAAGCGCACTTACCTAAACACGACTTGACTCCCCATTCAGAAAACTATGTGCCTAGTTTGAAATCCGCACCTGATCATTTTCTGAACACATAACAGGTTTTCACCGATCTGCGTGACGACTGCGATCTCATGAAAGCGTTTGAAGTATGAACTGAGTTTTCACTCTACAGAAAAAATTAGTTGGTCAGCATCAATTCGGAAGTGTCTTTAAACTTATTCTCAGGGTTCATCTAGTCTTTTCATACTGTACTTGGATGACTGTAGACTCTGTAGTTTAGCAAGTGATTTAATTTTTACTATATAATATCTCTAGTGTCCCCGAACTCGCTTTTTCTAGGAAACTCTTGATTTGCAGCGCGTTTTTGTGAGCATAACAATAAAGTACAATAAATAAGAGATATGGACAGTGTATAGGTGGCTTCTAAGCCTTACCCTGGCTTGAAGAGGAATAACGCCTCCTGAAGTGTGCAGTATAAATAGAACACGAAAGCATCTAATTATTGATCAGAAGTAAAGTAACACATATTTCAGTACTCACGATACTTATATCACAGCAGGTCATGATGACATGGTCTTTAGCGCACTTTACAAAAGAAGGCAATACTTATCAATTCTATCAGCACACTGCCGGAAGCATGAAATGGAGGGTAGCAGAAACAGCGCATAATATAAGGAACTCATCTACATCATCTTGCGAATTATTTTCCCCTGGGTAAGGCAGTGGTCGTTGAAAACTGCGCGTATTGCTTTGGCTGTGTCGAGATTAAGCGGACATGGCGGCAGCAGGAGATGGTGGAGCGAAATTGGGAAGATTTCAATGAAATCTTCGTGATCAGTATCCATACACTGCAGAGATGTAAATAGTCCTGAACTTCCAAAACTCGGTGTTTACAAAATTCATATGGAGCTAGCAAATTCACATGTCTGGAATCGGCAATCTCTACATCTCTTGTTATCTTAGGTGTTGTGATCTGCGAAAGTGCCCCAATGTATGCCGAAAGGGTGGCGTTATCACATTCGCCATCACTGCTACTCGAGATTGATCACCTTGATTTGTACTAACTCAGCTTCTAAAGTGCGGTTCATAATTATACGAACACCCCCAAATTTCAGAAATTTCTGGACTATTTGGAAGAAAAAAGCCGTTGGTACCACGCGAAAGAGCACAGCCGAAAACGTTATACGATCCACAAGAATGGAAGCTGATGTCAATCTTAGGAGTGTTTTTGCGCCTAATGCGAATTTTCAACATATATTTTCCGGTTCATAATTATACGAACACCTCAAACAAAGGTCCATTTTTCATTCAAAATTGCAATCATTTGAGTCCAAATTTTTTTAGAGTTACAGTAACAAAGTCCGACATATCTGCCACACACTGAACCCAGTGCAGTTCCAAATTAAGACCGTTACTTTTTTCAGAGGGCTCTAAATGCTTTTGGAGTGATTGCGTTCCAAAAACATCCTTTCTTCTGCGGTTTAGGCGCTCTAGTTAGCTTCTACCAAAGCTACGAGATAAAATAAGCTATTTCGATAGGTATTTTGTTTGACGCTTGGAAATTGCTTTTTCGTGCCGTTTTTCAGCCAAGTTCCAACCATACCCTAGAGTTAACACGATTTCGAGCAAAACTCAGCTTCTGAAGCCATACAATGAAGTAAGCATATAGTATGTAGAAGTTCACAAGACTGTATATTTGGCTAGAAAAAATCAGCAACGTTGAGCGTTTGTTTTAGCCACGCAGACGTCATTTCACCAAAAACACTGTTTTTACTATTGCAATCACACCTTCATTTGGTTTGTAGCTCCACAGCATAAGGTCAGTTCTACAAAAAACCCGAAAACTTTGGCACAGAAACATCATCATGCAAACAATGCAGCTGCTTCATATCAATGTCTGCGCAAGAGAGAAGCTGAGTTTTGAGGCTCGAAATCGTGCTAACTCTGGGTTAAGGTTGGAACGTGGTTGAAAAACGGCACGAAAAAGCAATTTCCAAGCGTCAAACAAAATACCTATCGAAAGAGCTCATTTTATCTCATAGCTTTGGCAGAAGCTGATTAGAGCGCGTAAACAGCAAAAGAAAGGATGTTTTTGGAGCGCAATCACTCCAAAAGCTTTTAGAGCCCTTTAAAAAAAGTCACGGTCCTATTTTTGAATTGCACTGGTTCAGTGTGTAGCAGATATGTTAGACTTTGTTACTGTAACTCTACAAAAAATTTGGACTCAAATGATTGCAATCTTGAATGAAAAATGGAACTTTGTTTGAGGTGTTCGTATAATTATGAACCGCAAAAATTCGCATTAGGCGCAAAAACACTCCTAAGATTGACATCAATTTCCAGTCTTTTGGATCATATAACGTTTTCGGCTGTGTTCTATCGCGTGGTACCAACGGCTTTGAGTTTCTCCCAAAAAGTCCGAAAACTTACAAAATTTTGGGTGTTCGTATAATCATGAACCGCACTTTATAGATGGATTTCAACTCCCTTGAGAGGCACCGAGACCAAGACATCAGACTATGACACCCTAGCTCACTTCACAGCAAATCATCAAGCACATCCCTTCACAAACAAGCCATCAAGCAGAAACCAGCAGATACGAGTCACACCTGGCTGTAAACACAGAACATTGCGTTGGCACTAACCATAAATGCTGTGATAGAAGGGTTTAGGAGAAAAAAGACTTGCTTTCGAACTTTTGGCAAGACTTCAATGCCGCAGTCAACAATTTCGATAGAGCAAGTCTGCAAATGAGCCTGTGATTAGACTTAACGTTTTAGCAGATTTTGCTCAAATTTAGAGGACTGCAACAAGGATACAGCATACTTAATGACAGGTAATAAACTTGCAAGGAGATCGATGTGGTTTATCAACTTGAGAAAAAGTAAAATAGGAACTTGCGAGACTTTCGAAAGTGGCGATCAAAAGCTACTCTTGTGAGATATAGAAACGAGAAATTAAGAGCCGCATGCACTAACATTTCCGCTGGGGAGGGGATCGCAGCTTCAGAAGAAAGCTTCATATCTTGAAGCTTCGAATATCTGTATTGCACGCTGTCTACCTATCCGTAAGTACTCCCACCATCCTTCACTATGAACATATTGAGCAGAAGCGAGAAGCTGTAAAAGCCGCATTTTCCAGCTTTTTGTAAGATCCCCTGATAATCCCTGGGGGACGAACGTCTATTCTTCAAAGTCATTTCTTTCTCCAAAGTCAACGAAAACCTTTCAAAGTTATATTGAACATCTAACCAACGGTGCTAAGCATGTTGCTAATGAGAACAAATGAACTTCTGAAAAATCGAGTTTTTCGGTATACCCCAAATTTCGACCTGTGGATCATCGAAAATTTCATGACTTCCGAACATCATTTGTTCTTATCAGCAACATGCTTAGCACTGTTGGGTTAGATAATCTGCACAACTTGGGAGGTTTTTCGTTAACTCCAGAGAAAAAAAAATGACTTTGAAGTAAAGCGCCGGGGATCATCAGGGATCATACAAAAGCTGGAAAATGCGGTTCGTACAGCTTCTCGCTCCTGTTCAATATGTTCAAAGTGAAGGATAGTAGGAATACTTACGGATAGGTACACAACGTGAAATCCAGGTAACTGGAGTTTCGAAATAAAAGCTTTCTTTATAGCTGCGATCCCCTCCCCGCGGCCATGTTAGTGCATGCGGCCCTAAATCAGAACGTAGGAAGACATCAGTGGCGGTCCGAGGGGGGAGGCCCCCCCCCCCCGAGAATGGGTCGCGAAATTTTTGAAACTTACCTATATGGTTTATAAAAATGTGCAAACGACTAGTTAATTTTTGTAAATAATTAATATAATTTTTAAAATTCTTAAAAAATTCAAATTAGCCTTATAAAAAAATTTTTTTCGGGGAGTGACTGACGCCACGCCCCCTTTTTCCAGATTTCAGGGGTTGGGGACCCGCAAAAATTTTTAGAAGCACCCCAAAAATTTTTTCGGAGTGCGTGGCTGACGCCACGCACCTTCATTTGAAAAAATTTTTTGTCGCGCCCCCCCCCGGTCCGAAATCCTGGGACCGCCACTGGAAGACATATAAACAAAAACATATGAAGGTTCCAAGTCTTTTTCGAAATCTTGAGCAATTTGAGCATGCGGACCTTGATGTGGAATGTTTGGGTGAAACTACCGCAATCTACGCTTGTCGTTTAACTCCATCGACAGCATACCTTCGATAGTCCAGAGACAGGGCGTCAAAAGTGAAGGTTGTTTGAACACCTGACCTCATAAAAAGTGAAGGTTGTTCAGAAAGGAGATCAGAGAAGAGAAAATGACGTAAAACAAATATGAAAAGCAAAAGAAGCTGCTGAAAACCGGAATAAAAACACTGCAATTATGGTTGTAATTCTTCATTTGGCGGCTTTTCAAAGTGCAAGTCTTCGCTCCAGGACCAGCTATTCGCAGCACGGGGGAAAGCGAAGAAGAGCTAGTTTCTTTTTTGATTGTTTCAAAAAAACATGTCTCATGAAGGAGTGATTACCAAGAGGAAGATAAACAAGAAAGATATCAGTTATAAAAACGCAAATTTTCTTTTTTACTAAGTCGAAAAGAACGTCGAAGCCAATTTAATTTTTGATGCGTCCTTTAAATTTTTACCCTCGCATTGACGTTCCTGTTTCCTGGGACGTTGTCTAAATTGCTGCGTTTATTGTTCTGAGCAACATTCGCCCAAGCTGGAAAAAAATCGCTGCGAAAACACTGGAACAGAACAAAGTGAAGAAAAATGCACTTTTTACGATTTTTCACAAAAAATTCCACAATAATCGAAGAGATAAGGGCTGGGTGGTTGTCAGCTTTATGAACAGAAGCAAGGTCTATAGAATGCACGAAAAAACTGCGTGGAAAAAGTTGAACTAGGAGAAAAACAAGAGATTTTCGAAAACAAGGTTTTTGCCGGATTTCTCGATCAAATCAAAAAATGTGGTTTTGGGACGTTGCCAGCGTAAAAATAGAGATCAAGAGCTTCAAAATGATATATAGCTTGCTAAAATTGGGTTAGAAACAGCGAAGGAAAGGGTACCAGAGCCAAATGCCCCGCGCCCCGCGTTTGGGGTAGCGAGGTAGCGCGCAGCGCGCGGAGTCGCAGACGAGCAGCGGAGACAGACCAGAGCCGACGGGGCATTTGGCTCTGGTCGTAGATCTCCGCGGGGTCTCAACGAAACCATGCAACATCATATATCATTTTGGTCGCCATGACACGACTAGGAGCACTGACAACGTCCCAAGCTTTGAAAATCACTCATTGACGAGATAGCCCAGCGTTTTCGTGCGCGACTCTCTGCGCAATATTCAAGCGCTGTTTCTCGTTTTTATTCAACTCCAACAGCTTTCCTAAACTTCTGAAACTCGATTTTGGTCAACTAAGACGCTAACTTAGAATTGTTGTCTTGAATTCTGGCGAAAATCTTACAGAAATCTTCTTTTTGACGTAAAAAAGGCTATAAAAGCGCAAATTCCCGGTTTCGCTGAGATAACATAAAGATACTGTTCCCTATATTGCTTCATTAACATTCATTCCGATATAGTCAGAATAATAACATCCGGGGCTTCGCCCCGGAAGACTTCTGTTTTTTTTTCAGGTGAAGGTTGTGTCGTCCCCTCATAGCCTTTAAGGTGAAGGTTATCAGAGTACGTGGCTCTATGTATCGAGGTTATGATCGACAGGCATGAAAGTCTTCTTCATCAACTCCAATCCTACTTAGGTTTTCTTATTATCTGCTTCAGTCATTTACTGATAATTTTCTTAAGGTGCGCGGTCATTCTTACTGAAATTTACCCCACCACTAACAGATAATGTTCATTATCTATAAATCATCATTCAAATTCTTAGCTTAGTTATCAGTTTTGTCATCATTGAAGTTTTCTTCATCATTACTAGCGTCAACAATACAACTGTCACACCCAGTAAACGCTGATTTGTCATCACTTCTTGCTAAACGCTGATTTGTCATCATTTCTTGCAAGTTATAAACAGCTGATAGCGGCGCAAGAGAAACTGCAATCAGAAACGTAGCGCAAGGTTAGAGTCAGATTATTACTTGCGTTATTTGTTCTGTGCTCTAGTCGATTTCTTTTCACTTGCCATCATTTTCAAAATTCTTTTTTTTCAGAATGCCAGCTGCAAGAGAAATTCATGCTCGTTTACCAGCTGCAGCGGTAGATATATCTGTTCTCAGGAGAAATTAACGTTTCGAAATGGTCGAATAGCTCGGAATCGATTCCTCAAGGTATAGCTCGAACTTGAACGGTTCAATCTAGTGCGTACATTTTTTCTTTTGTTTTTTATTTTCTCCTCAAACATAATAATGAAAAACAATTTTTTGATAAATTCAGGCTGCTCTCACGGAAAGGCTGAGCTCGTGGGACCCCGTTGATCTCAAGATACGTGGCATCCCACCTCAAAAGATCATAAACCTTTACGACAAATGGGGTCATGGAGGGTTTGGTATGATCTTAACTGGAAATGTATGCGTTGATCCGGTAAGTAAGCATACTCTTGCATCAAAAAGAATAACTGAACAAAAAAATACAAAAATTTATTCGAAATGGGTAATTTAACCTTCATCGACCATATTTATTAATATATGCTTTTTTCAGAACAACCTTGAAGCCGCTGGAAATGCGATATTTTGCAAAGAAAACGATACTCCGGCTTTGAGGGCAGCTTGCAAGGAATGGGTAACAGCGATGAAACAAGATGGTGCTTTAGCAGTAGTACAGTTATCTCATGTGAGTCAAATGTCAGTATCAAGCTTGGAAACAATGTCCAAACAAAGTGGGGTAATCGACTTCTTATGAGTAATCACATGATTCTTTCGTGGCCGAGAAATTCACTTTGGAACTTTCGCCCAGTACCGTACTCGAGAACGCGGATGGTCGGGGGATACGATACTGAGGAGAGTTTGGAGTTGTATTTCTTGTTCGCGAATGAACCATATGAGCTGCAATTTGGGCAAAAATTTAGTTGGGGCTTTCCATTCTTATACGTAATTTATTCAAGTACCCAGGTTTCTAACATCGCAATCAGGCCTTGAATTTGTGGGATATCGAGATCCACAATGTCACCTCTAACCACAACTTCTATTTTAGGCAGGCAGACAAACTCCTGAACTGGTCAATCCGCATCCATTCTCATGCTCGGATGTACAGCTGACAGTCAAGAGACGTTTTATGGGTTTTGGAAAGCCTGTTCCGTTATCAATTGAGCAGATCAAAACCGAAGTCATTGATCGATTTGTGTTTGCTGCCAAATTCGCTTTTGAGTTGGGTAAGAGTGCTTTGGCAAAGATTTGTACCACTTTTGTTTCTGTAATTCTGAGTATTTTTGAATTATGATTTTTGCCATCTCCTCCTCCTATCCACGCTGATCAAACCAAAAATTATTTTGTATCCAAAAAATTCAGGATTCGATGGAGTACAACTCCATGCTGCCCATGGATATCTACTTTCTCAATTTATGTCACCACTCACCAATAAACGTACTGATCAATACGGTGGATCAGCTGAAAATCGAATGCGAGTAGTTCGAGAGATTTTCCAGGCCATAAGGTACTCTAAATTAGGCTTGTATAAAATTCTGATTTTTTTTTTCAGAAAAGAGATTGACCCTTCGACGGGCTTTCTGGTAGGGATCAAAACAAATTCCGTTGAGTTCCAGGATAATGGTTTGAAAGTAGACGATGCAAAGTTGATGTGTAAAATGATGGAGGTAATTACATTTCTTCAGTGATAAAATTTAGTTTCTCAATTTTATGTTTTGTCATTTTTCAGCACTGTGGGTTCGATTTTGTGGAACTTTCGGGTGGAAACATTGAACGTCTAGCATTTCAACACATGCGTGACTCTACCAGGCAAAGAGAAGCATTTTTCTTGGATTTTGCAGCACAGGTGAATTTCTTCTAAAGGCAGCGTCTAGGCAAAATCTGTGCTCCTCCGCTTGATACCTAGTCTACAAGAAAGCCCCAGGAGTAGAACATCTGTGTTGGTGCGGTCCTCTAATGTGTCATGGAAAAAATGGACCTGAAACCCACGATTGCGCTATCAAGCCACGCCCGCTCTATCAAGTTCCGCCCACCAAAGTAGTGGAAGTCGTCTTCGCCTCCAGATTACGGCTCTCAGAAGTCTGGTTTTTGAGGAGTTTTGCACATTTTGCACTTCATATCTGTAGGGACCATGCAAAGACCTCAGAATGATAGAAACATGGGCGAAGATCTGGGTGGATGCTACCTTCAAATTTTTCTCATCCAGCCTTCCGACCTACGATTTTTCAGATCCGACCAGTTTTTGAAAAAACCAAAGTGTATGTGACTGGTGGATTTCGAACTGCACCTGCTATGGTAAAAGCCATCACTGACGGAACTACTGATGGGATCGGGCTCGGAAGACCAATCACAGCTGAACCGGGTGAGTAAGCAAATTTAAGCCTGAATTACTAAACTCAAGGCAATTTTCCAGATTTACCCGCGAAAATTCTACGAGGAGAGTGTTTTGCTGCTGCTGATACGCAACTTGACCAAGATGACTTTGTCATCACATCTACTGCCAGTATTACGCAAATGGAACAGATGGGCAGGAGGTCGTATGAAGAAGTGGAAAGGTTTGTGGTATTTTGTTTTCAAATCTTATCGTGAGTAAACAGTGAAAACATGTACTAAGCTCCTTTCCTCATTCACATGGCTATCACCATTTGTTGGAAAGTGCTAAGTTTATTTATTTTACCTATTTATCCAGCTGTTTATTTAGTAACAAAATTATTCACACAAAGGTGCAATGAACCTTGAAAAACGATCATTCATTTGTACGCTCAAGGCGTTCCAAAACAAAGAAAAAAACACATCGAGAAGTTTGTAATACAGCGGAAAGAACAAGAAACATAAACGAATGCAGACATCATCATATCAGTCCGAGTCTAATCCTATTCAGACTAATTTAAGAAAGATGAAACGGCTTGCATTGAATATGTTGATAGGCTAATAAACAGATATGTGTCCTTTGCATCTCAACCAATGTTTCTAAGCATAAAATCAACGCAAGGCGGGCCTTACGGTTAGGCATACTGTAGGTACAATAGAGAGTTCTGAAATTATCTGAAAGGTCAGGTTAATTTGTCTGATCATTTCGTATTTCTGCCGGAAGATTAATTGTATGAACGTCACGAGTATTTTTACCCTCTGTTGGGTTATCACTCGCGACTTAATGCCTAAAGATGGATTTAAAAAATGTATTATCAAACCCTGTCTTTACACCACTGCCTTAGCGTACAGTTGCCGCAAAATAGCGAAAATGTTGAAAAAAAAAAGAATGCGGAGGCGCTATTATGACGACTTCCATTTATCTACTTTCATAACAATTGCATTTTATTGTCTCACTAATTGAACTTTTTTAGTATCTGTGACGACATAGCTGATCTCAGTCATCCAGAAGAGGCCGAAAACTACAAAAAAGCTGCTGTGGAATATTTTGAAGAAAGGATATTGACTGTGGAAAGTGGACAACCCGTACAAGGCGTATTTGACTATGTGAACATATTAGCATAAGGCAAGCGCAGTTCTTTGTATGTGTATTTTATAACATGGATTCGATAAATAAGTTGCCTTTTCAAGCATCAGATACTAGCTGTAAAGGTTGATGAAAGTGTCTAAGTTTTTAGGCCTACTTTACGCTCACACAATGTGGTGGAGAACCACAAAATTTCTTCTTCTTCTATTTCCTCTGCAAGCGCAAATTTCAAGATGTTAAGTGCTGTGTACTTGAAGTGAGTGTATATCTACATGTAAAGCTGGCACTTTGTCAAGTTGTGAGCGATGGTTCTGTGGTCTATGGAAGTCTGCAGGACATATGAATTTGAGACTCTCGATATCGACGAAGGCTTTGTTGTATAGCGTTTTGCGCATTTTGAAGACATTGTGATTGGATTGTCGCATGCGTAAGTATTCATCATCAGGGTCGAGCAAGAGGTATGGCACACAAGCGCCGGATACGATCCTCCCCCCCCCCCTCCCCCTCCCACCCCATCTTCTCTCAATACCCCCCCCCCTCTACCAGCATTATCGTTTGCCTTCGGTGGGCATGACACAAAGGCTCTACCATGCTTAATTAGGCACCATTCGTAATTATCATGTCAAATAACCACCATGGGCCAAGTTTTAGCAAATCCTGGGAGTTCCCAGTTTTGGACCACCCGAGCGAAGTGATCATTTTCAAACATTAACTATATTTCAAATGTGAATTAGCTAACTCTTTTTGTACTCAGTACAAAGCACTACTCCTTACTTACCGAAACCATGAATCTTGCTTCAAATAACCATCAAGCTATGGAAGTAAAAGCAGGCCAAGTTGTCGTTTGTCCCATTTTTCGCTTCCAATGGCTGCGCTTTCATCAGCTTTTACTCAGAGCGAAGAAGATGAATAGGCTCAAATTACTCCTATGACAACTACAACGCTCAATCTATCAAACTATATGTATGTAGTTTGTTCGCTAATATTCTTTTCGGAGGCAAGATGGGGTGCGGAACAATCCCTAAAATGCTGTGGCAGCCACAGCTTTTTTAGGGATGTGCCACACCCCATTAACTTACCTTCAGAGCATTCAAATTACTGTCTTTTTTATATGTTACTACTGCTAAACCTTCTTCTCCACATAGCAGGAATTTCATTCAAAATTATCTCTCCTAGGGAACGATAAAGTCATTTCTCCTTTGCTAAGCAAACGGAAAACACCGCGAAAATATTGGATTACGGTAATGTGCTAAGTCTGCGCTACTACGTGAATCGCGGGGGAACGCAGCAAGAACAAGTATATTCGATAGCCTGATTCTCCTAACTTTCACAAAAGTGATTTGAGCCTGATTTGCCATGAGTTCTCTACTCTGAGAAATTGAAAGCGAAAAATGGGACAAACGAGATTTTGGCTTGCTCTTAATTCCAGAATTTGGGGTTATTTGAAATGGGATTCCTAATGTGAGCAAAGAAGTAAAAGTATTTTGTAATGAGTGCAAAAAGAAGTAGTATACTCACTTTTGAAATAAAGTTAGCATGTTCGAAAATGACCACCTCACTTGAGCGTGCCAACATTTGGAAAATGTTCCTCAAAATTCGCTGAAACTTGATCCGCAGGGTTATCTGATATGCTAATTACAAAAATGATGCTCTATTGCTTTTAGAATTTTTTTAATATGCTTACTGTGCGTGTACGACGGTAGGCCAAAACATAAGTGCAGGTATCTTGCACAGTTTGCCTATCAAACATTGTTGACCGACATGATATCGCAAACATCCCTATCACCTCGATAACGACCTTCCCCCCCTCTTCTTGATCCCTCTACGATCCCCAGGTGTGACGTGCTACACCCCTGCTTGACCCTGTTCATAACCCTAAAATAAGTTTTCGATGCCAAACATCCGCTTGCAATTCTTTGTAGACAACACTGTTTGCAAATCACTACTTAAATTCCGACAAAAGTGACCCCACTGTAGAACAATAATCCTTTGGTCCCTACCCTTTTTAGGTGGTCCATAAGCCTAAGCCGAAATTTGGTCTGAACTCAGATGTAACCAGTATAAAAGTAACAGCAACGATAAATCTATACAGTGTAATGAAATCAGCAATTAATGCCTTCACTTTGAGATAACGATAGAAATTGCCAGTCTTCAATCAAAGAAATGGTTACGCAGTGCGTCCAGATTTGTCCGTGCCAGCGCCATTCTAGCGCTGGACATAGACCATAGACCCAAAATTTTATAAGTTTTTGGACTTTTTGGGAGAAACTCAAAAAGCCGTTGATTAAAGTGCGGTTCATAATTATACGAACACCCAAAATTTTGTAAGTATTTAGACTTTTTGGGAGAAACTCGACAAGCCGTTATACCACGCGAAAGACCACAGCCGAAAACGGTATATGATCCATAGGAATGAAAATCGATGTCAATCTTAGGAGTGTTTTTGCGCCTAATGCGAATTTTGAGAGATTCATAATTGTACGAACACCTCAAACAAAGGTCCATTTTTCATTGGCGAGTGCAATTTTTCGAGTCCAAATTTTTTCTAGGGTTACAGTAACAAAGTTTGCAGCATCTGCTACACACTGAACCCAGTGCCGTTTAAAAAGAGGAAGGTTACTTATTCCAGATGGCTCTAAATGCTTTTGGAGTCATTGTGCTACAAAAACGTCCGTTTTTTTGTGGTTTACGCAATCTAACTAGCTTTTACCAAGTCTATGAGATAAAATAAGCTCTTTCGATAAATATTTTGTTTGGCGCTCGGAAAATCTTTGCATTTTCGTGCCCTTTTTCAGCCGCCAACCCTACCCTGGAGTTGGCACGATTTCGAGCCTCAAAACTCATCTTCTGAAGCTCTACAATGAAGTAAGCACATATTATGTAGAAATTCACAAGACAGCGTATTTGGATAGAATAAATCAGCAACGTGGAGCATTTGTTTTGGCTACGGAGGTGTCATTTCACCAAAACCACTGTTCTTACTATTGCAATCCCCTTTTATTTGGATTTCAGCTCCATAGCATCAAGACTAATTGTGCAAAAAACCCAAAAACTTTAGCACGGGTACATCATCATGCAAACAGCGCAGCTGCTTCATCTCAAATGTTTGCGCGAGACAGAAGCTGAGTTTTGAGGCTCGAAATCGTGCCAACTCTAGGGTAAAGTTGGAACTTGGCTGAAAAACGGCACGAAAATGCAAAGATTTCCGAGCGCCAAACAAAATATCTATCGAAAGAGCTTATTTTATCTCATAGACTTGGTAAAAGCTAGTTAGATTGCATAAACCACAAAAAAACGGACGTTTTTGGAGCACAAACTCCAGAAGCATTTAGAGCCATCTGGAATAAGTAACGCTCGTTTTTTTTTGAACTGCACTGGGTTCAGTGTGTAGCAGATGTTTCAGACTTTATTACTGTAACTCTAGAAAAAATTTGGACTCAAAAGATTGCACTCGTGAATGAAAAATAGACCTTTGTTTGAGGTGTTCGTATAATTATGAACCGCTCAAAATTCGCATTAGGCGCAAGAACACTCCTAAGATTGACATCAGTTTCCATTCTTGTGGATCGCATACCGTTTTCGGCTGTGTTTCGCGTGGTACCAACGGCTTTCGGAGTTTCTTCCAGATAGTCCAGAAATTTTCAAAATTTGAGGTGTTCGTATAATTACGAACCGCACTTTACTAGTGACGAAATTACCACTTCACCACAATCTTTCTGCAGTTCGACGGCGGATAATGGGCTATACTCAAAAGAGACTTTCCTAGTGGCCAAAGAACAACCATGAACCTCTTGGCTGTTGGAATGTTCAGAGAAGTTTGCTCGTTTCTGTTTTTTCTCCGTAAGAGCTGAACAATTTTCTAGGTTCCAGCATTGGCTTCGACTCCTTGATGATTTGTTGATACACGCAGAAGTAGGCGCGTATCTTTCTTCGCAGTTCGTCATCTTTTGAAAATATGTTTTTCTCACCTCATTATGCTTACCCTTGCACTAGTTCCGTGAGTTCTTCAGTATGCCGTCTAATTTCTTTTGCATAGAGGGCGAGGAATCAGCTTCATTGCACGGTGATGCCTTTTGTGCTGCTATTAGAGGTGATGCCCTGTGTCGGTCTTCGTATTTGGCAAATGCTCCAAATGATTGGATGGTTCCTAGGCCTTACTGTGCCTGAGGCGGCATAGCGTCTCTACAGTGTTATGGAACATGGATACATCTAACAATAAGCTTTACTGAACAGACGATATGCACGCGTCGATGGAATGCTGCCACTGATAGACGTGGCGAGGTAGAGTAGCACATATCTGAGCAATTACGATACTCATGTCAGAGAAAGTCATGCTTATGGCATGATGCGGTACCTTGCAGAGAAGGGTAAGAGGTACCAGTTCTATTGCGACAGACGGACAATCACATTAACCTTTAATTGGTGAAAAAAAAAACTTCAATGCAAATCCACCTCTTTCTCTTCCCCTATTCCGCACTACCCTTCTCCACCATCGTCCCCTTACTACTACATCGTAATTCACCTCATTTATCTACGAAATAAGCCGGTACTCAACACTTTGAATTATAAGTGTTTGAGAAGGATGGTTCATTCATTCCAACCGTCCACTAAGATGATGCAGCTTGATGATGTATGGTCATAACAAGTTTCAGTCGGTGTCACAAAGTTCGAGTTTAGGTTAGCATCGATCTGACCCTTGGTATAAACGCCAGTGCCATCAATTTTGGTGAGACAGCATTCTCTTGTAGCTGTGTAATACAATGTGAAGTTAAGAGACATTCGCAAAAAACATCTGGAGCTATATTCTCAACTTCTACCCAGAAGGTCCAAAACCTTTCCTTAAAACAGAAGTTTTGACTTCATTGCTGACAAGAGTCGCCGACATAATGGAGAAGGAACCAACAATCATTGAGCTCGCTGTGAGCTATTTGGGATTTTCACAAATATCGCAAAGTTTGCAATGCTCTTAATCAGGGAGAAGTCACGGTTATGGGTCCTATATATGGAGAAGGTGATTCCCTCATAACGCTTTTGTCATTGGCTGGTATGCCACCACAAAGAACCTATGTTTTCCTTGGATGCTATTTCGGCCTAGGTTTTGGTGAGTCATCTCGAAACTACTGGGATGAGAAATGACTAGCAATTGCAGTTATTTTAGCACCCTTAGAAAGCCTTCTATTACTTTTCTGCTTGAAATGTCTTTATCCAACCAAGCTTTACCTGTTGAAGGGGCATTTAGAAGAGGCAGGGTCGATAAAGGTTAAAATTGATTCTTTGGCTTCGGACAGAGCTCACGCGATTTGGTCGTCGCGATTCAATCGCTAAAAGCAAGTGGTCGAGTTCATTGCATGCCGATCTTCTTGTAATTCGGTTGTGATAGTTTTCCAACACGACTAATCGTGACTAACTATCACAACCGAAATACAAGAAGGTCGGCATGTAATGAACTCGTAACACATGTTTTGTAGCAATTGAATCGCGACGATAAAATCGCTTGAACTCTGTCCGAGGCCTTAAGTGGACAGAACAGAAATTTTATTCTAGAGTTTGGGCTTGGATGAGTGGTTATTCAGAAGAAAAGTTCCACGAGACTCGGTGCTAAAAGTCTCTGATCAGGTTATGGTAAGCTTTGCTGATGAAACAATTAATCTTAATTATCATTACTTGATAATAACACGCTAGGGGATGTGACATGTATTCTTGTAGATAACTGGAAATTGTTAGAATTTTAGTTCAATTACCCTTGTGAAAAAATATTTTCTAAAATGTACCTGCCGCTAGCCCCTTTTCTGTCCTCGGGCATACTTCACGCGATCTCGAGCGCGACTTGACCTGCCTATTCAACAGATGCCTTCAAGTCCAACACTTGCAGGCTGAAAATGCATGGTGTTCGTTACTTTAAGAGACTGATGATAAGCTCTATCTTCTGTTTAAAATGCGTCTACGATGAGTTATGGACGGCTGGAATATTGTCTTTCGAAAATTTCGGGATTCTGGCCCTGCAAAAAATTTGAGAAGCATCCCAAAAAGTTTTTTTAGTGGTGCTCATGCCACGCACCTTTGACCGAAAATTTTTGTCTCAGCTCCTCTTTCTCTTTCTCCCCCCCCCCCCCCCCGCCCGAAAGGGCAATCTTGGGCGCCGCTGCAGCCAAGTTATAGGTAGGTTTGCCTGATTCAGAAATCAGCACCATAGAGCTCCGTTCAAAGTGTAATAAAAAAGCCAAGCCTTTTGGGAAGAAGATGCTGGAAGGGGTAGTTGGACAAAACGCGCATACGCAGAGAAAACTTTTTCTACTCGTAATGGCCAACATTGATCGGCGATTCAAAGCAGTCTGAGCAACATTTTACCAGTCTGAGAACAGAAGTAAAGCGCACGATAGGGCTTCGCGAAAGCCGAAGTGATGCACTGTTCAACAAATATTCTTGAGCTGATAGTGATCATCTTTTGACTGATCTCACGATTATGTAAGTCGCGCAAACCATTCTTTCTAAATTTTGAGATATCAAGACCGAAAAAGAATATGCAATAGATATACAGGGTGTCCCAAAAAGATGTGCACACTGTTTGATTTGAAATAACTCTCTTATTATGAGGTCTTTCGAGAAGCGGTAAGCGCCAATTTGTAGGGCTGGCTTCAACTTAGATTTGCAGTATTGAGCGAATCACCGACCGCCCTTCGTTACTGTAGGATTACGGTAGAAACTTGAAAGAGGGTTTTGGCAATGAAAGGCCATATTTTGCCACAGAAAGGAATCAAAACAGCCTGAAGACTTTTACACTAGGCCAATTAGAGTTGCTGATTCTAACTGTAAAGTTCCCAATCTATTATGATGTTTCACTGAAGAGTTATGCGAGGTAAGCAGTAGCGGCCATTTTTTCAATGTTCCAAAAAAGTGCGGTTACACCGTTTAGAAAGCTTCGCAATCCTGAGAATAGTTGAGTATTGAACTCAGCGTCCCTAAAAACCCTATTACACAAGTTTTCACATCTTTTTGAAAATTTTTGAAACGGCAGCTTTTTCCACATTGACACCATATGTTCCAAGTTTCTACCGTATTCCTACAGTAACGAAGAGCGGTCGATGATTCGCTCTACACTGTAAATCTAAGTTCAAGCCAGCTCTACAAAATGGCGCTTACCGCTTCTCGAAAGACCTCATAATAAAAGAGTTAGTCAAAATCAAACAGTGTGCACATCTTTTTGGGACACCCTGTAGTTGACTGCACGGAATCGCCCGGAATGAACACCGCGCGCGTGTCTTTTGAGGGCTAACATGGGCATTCGCGCGCATAAGGCATAGCGCCCGTAATCGGCAGCCGCGTTTACAGGCACCTCGCGTGCGTTTAGCCTACAGCGACCCAGGCGATTTCGTGCAGTCGACCTTACATTGACTGTATGCAGCACATTACATTTCAGCGTACAGTCGCTCAAATGCCAGTTGGAGCTATGATCGGTTCAAAAATTCTATGTCTTCCTGGAGGACCCGGTCCTGCAATACGAGAACATGGATTGGCAGCACTGCGCACCTGCTCAAGATCAGCCATGTCTCAGCTGGATAAAACACTGTGTATGGTGAGGTTCTAGCAATCACTCTTTTTTTGGATTACCCCCCCTCTCCTCCTCCTTACTTAACAGTTTTCTCTTGCGATATGACCCGTTCGTTCGCGGCCGGGTTTGGCCTGAACAGTGAGCTCGAAACGCAAGGTCTTCGCGCTGCGGATGCAGAGCTACACGCTAGAGGGGCACTTAAATTGAAACTAAGTGTTCCAGGACTACAATAAACATATTTCAGGAAGCTGCCTGGACCGTAATGAAATTAGAAGCAAACCCAGTGACAACTGACGATGGTATCCCAACTTTCACTGAGGCTCAGTGTACATCATTCTGTAAAGCGAACAACCTGGCACTTATCGTACGCGGGCGACAGTTGGTGAGCAATTATTAATTCGACTGAATAACAGAAAAAAAGGTTTGCTTATTCTTCAGGTCGATGAAGGATTTCTAAACTATCCGAAAGAAGCTTTAACTATCGTTTCAGCGGTGGCTTATTTGGACAATTTTAGAAATTGCGCTGCTGCTGTCACTTTCCAAGGACTGAATGTATGTATCATCGCTAGATCATGATCACCGCAACGCGACCGCGCCCACAAGACTCATGTCAGAATTCCTGACTTATCGCTTATTTTAGGCTTCTGTAGTTCGCTACCGAATGGATGAAGGAGAACCAAAATCACTGGATATTGTCAAACCAGGCATAGGAAGAAATGCAATGGCATATCCTGTGTAAATATTAAGCAGAAAGAGAAAAGCTCACCTTACAAAAACAGCCTTCATAACATTCTTGTTCGTGCTCGTTTTATTTTCGATAAATTTTCCGGAGTTGTTTCAGCCATGATGTCATGGGAAGTTACGAAGGCAGATCTACAAGGGGTTCATTTTAGCTTTCTACTTTTACATACCAATTCCAAATCAATCTCACCATTATTAAAATTTTCAGATTTTCAGCGCTTTCAAATCCGTCCTCGCCTCCTTTACAAATTCTTTGAGTTCTGGAAAAGTAGCATCAAAGTTTCTGACGCTCTACAAGATGCATGCCATGTTATCAAAGAAAAAGAAGTCGATGCTCATCCATTAACTTTATGAATTAGAATAGAATTTTTTGAAAGGTAAAACGAGCGATTCTGGCACCTTGCGCTCTTTGTGCAGAGATTACAAAATTTATTTTTTTTTCACGAGCAAGCGAGTGAGCTAACAAATACATCATTAATCATTTCCCGCAAATTTTCTTCGCAAGGCACTTACAAAAACATTTACAAAACGCCTTCACTACTGAAAACTTCAAAGTATTTGTTCGCTTTTGAATTCACGATCGTTTTCCATTATCCCTCAAAAATCAGCTCAACACACACGACAATACGACATCGGTGCGTCGTATGTTCTGCAAAGTTTTAGTTTCAAATTTACGATGAAATTCCATGTACTTGAGTGTTTAGCGATTTTCTATTTGGAGTTCTAGCCAGGAGAATTATTAAGTCGTTTCATAAGTTGGTCATGTTTTGTTTTGAAACGACAAAATTTCGTCAGAAATCAGTCAAAGATGTTTGTCCCAATGTCGAGTAAACTTTCTGCCACCTTGCCGTCAGATTTTCAACCGTTTTTTTTCAAATCAACGGTTCTATAACAAGCACCGTTCACATGATATGTAAAAGAGCGAGACAAGTCATAATTTGTTGGGGTAAGGTACGAGTACGTTGGATACTACACAGTACCTCCTCATTAGATCTTGGGACACTCGTTTGCCGCATGGAGCCATATTTTATCAAGCAGAACACACCCGACTCGTCTTCTGGGTCTTTCCTGCAACAAAAATTTGTTCGGACGATGCGATTGGTTGCGCATAGAATCATCAGAATCCAAGTTCGACTACGTAAATCCTGGGCTAAAGGTTGGGCTCTTTTCTGCAGCCGACAAGCTGTTTGATATAGAGGACTGCAGGATCGCGAGAGTCGGACGTGCGTACGGCCATTGCGCCGCGCACGTCACGTCGTCTCACGTCTGATGTCACTAAGGCAGGTGCCAAACCTATCCGCTTCAACCGGTTCGTTCGGTTCACAAGTCAAATCACTACACTGTCCAACAGAAAAGGTGGTGAACCGACTAAACCTGTTGAACAGGATAAGTCTGGTACCTACCTGAGTTGTCGGACGCGCATCTGACGTGCGCAATGGCCGTACGCACGCCCGACTCTCGCGTCCTGCAGGCTCCTATAGGATAGTTCACATATGTGTTTTCAACTTTTCAAACTCTGAAGAAGGCGAGTTCGCCCAAACGTCAGTCAGTTTGTATATTGTGGAATAAATCTGTACCAATCTTGGCCGCTGCTAAAGAAATCAACGAGAAGACATAGTATCATCCACCGTTTTGCCTTGTGCAGCGACCATTGCAGGATCTCCTGCTCGTTCCACGAAAAGTCTTGTTTAGGGGACATGCTGCCTGACCCATGGTCTTTTGGAGCAAGCCAATTCGTTCTTGTCTCATACTGATGTGCAAAGCCTATTTTAACCGGCGTAGAAACCTACAAAATAACAACTTCTTTATAAAAAAAAATTCAGCAAGTGTCAAAAATGCTTTTTGCCTTCTATACGTTCCACATTTTGAAGCTAAGAGATTGACCATCATGTACCAGCTTTCCAACGAAATTAATAAGTTCACCACAAAAGCAATATCACTTTTCAACGAATTACGCATCTTGCCTCAAAACTTGCTTCTCAAAGAGATGGGAAAGAGAATAGAAACGACTAATTTATAAAACGACCGAAAACTCGACCATACGGACCACCAAAGAGACGCAACTTTGACCGAGGCTCAGCAGAGGTGGTGCCTCCACACGCCAAATATCGTTTTCAGGAGGAGAAGCAAAAAGAAAACCGTAAAGTTTTCGAAGGATATTTTCGGATCCGATAGGATAGCAAGCACAATTCTTACACATAAATAGTAAGCGCGAATTTGAGGCTCTAGCGTCATTCGACCACTAACGGGTTAATTAACATGTTACAAACACGATCAGTGCATCAACTTGTGTTCACAAAATTTCTAACGTGTTAAGACATGATCTATATGAAAAAAGATGAACAAGCAGTTTGTTTACAAGGATTAAGCAATACTGAGCTATCACATTTGGTGTAGAGCTTGGCGACGATGAGGAAAAGATAAGCATGAGAAAATGTGAAAAAATTATGTGAATGAAAACATAGTTTTTCGAGAATTTTTACATAAATCTATTCTTCATTTTAAGCTCTATATGTGAGAACTCACTTTAGGCCAAGTTTCGACCCCTAAGGCATTGCCTTCTGTTATTTTATCCTCAATTTTCTGTTTTTTTTCTCACTTTTATCTACTCAGTTCCGCTGTAGATTATAAGCCGCACTTCCACAGATCCACAAAAGGTCATTCGTAAATTTCTGTAGCTCCCAAATGACACCTCCTGCTGAGCCCTGACTTTGACAATGCGATGCAAGATACCTTCTGGTCCTGAGAAAATTTGTGATCTTCAAAATCGAAAACTGCAAAAGCCGAACGCGCCTATTTTTAGCTTTTGGCGAAAAAATTTACTTACAATTAGCAAAGAAAAATTGGAAAAATCATTCTCGAAAAATGCAAACTCCTTGCACAGGTATTCATCGCAAAGAAGTAAAAATCTAAAAAACGTCGCGAATTTATGAAATTTTGTATTTTTTTGGCGGTTATCTAACTTCTCATTTGTTTCATTATGACCAACCTGACGGAGATATCCGGTAGGTTACTACCGGTCATTCAATAATTCCTATATTTTATTCATTTTTATTGATGCATATAACAAACTCGCATAATTACACTGGAATACATGCACGTAAACAAAAATTGAAGTGACCTTACTTTAAACAAATTTTCAAAGTAAAAAAATTTATATTAATGAATGAACCTACTCTTCTACATCTACGAGATAGCAGATGCAGATTAGATACACTATTTGATTCTTTGCTTGTAAGAAAATACATAAAACGAAAAATTAAACAAATGTGTTAATTAAGATAAGATACTGTACAGAGGAATGCTTACGAAGTGCAAACTCACATGATAAAATGGAAAGAAAAAATACAATACGTTCAAATACAAAACAAATTGATTGAAAAAATTACAGAAGATCGATATTAGGCACAATGGTGATTGAACAACCTATATACGAGATAGACAAAAAAATAACGCTAGAATATTATCTGATGATTGATCCGATCGATCTTGCATCGATTGCACATCGAATGACTTAGACATTTTCTTTGAAGGAAAAAAAAACATGATATAAAGCTGATTATGGACGATAAAGGAAGTGATAAAGCAGGAAGATATAAAATAGAGAATCATCACAGCGACAATTATGCATAGAGATGAATGAGAAGAGTGCTCAGCTACAAGCACTATGAATATAATGAATGATATCTATATTAACACATGAATGAAGTTACTCAAGTCGCTCTAGGAAGTTGGGATCTTTGAAGTATTCGGGGATTGGATCATCTAATCGATTGATTATCTGAAAATGAACGAGATAAGTAACAAATTCGAAAGTTTCCTAATTTTGTTCTCTATCGCTCCGATAGTACACTCCCATTGAATTTCATATTTCTGTTCTCTGACTATCTGCTTTGATTTTTGAACTCTTTTAATATGGATATAGACTGACTGGTTTTGAAAAGTGATACAGCGAGCGTTGGGATCAAAAGCAGAGTTCAAGCAGAGTGCAAACATTATTTACGCTTATATCCCTTTATGTCAGCCGGTCGTTCACACGCCGATTGTGCACATACTAAAAAGGCTATGTTTTCATGTACTTACCTTGTAAATCTGTTTTTTCCAAGATGGTTCAGCATCTTTTCCAAGACGGATCGCATCGAAAAATTCACGCAATGACTCTTGTACTACATGGACTAGACTATCTGGGGGCTAAAATGGTAATCTTAAGGAACCGTCAAATTTTTTGGGTAATAAGAATCCGCACCTGTACATGATTGTTCCTATTATAATGCTGATTGAGTGTACGGAATATTTCTGAGTCTGCTGTTACAATGATGTCATCGCGTGACGTCACTCCTTCAGCAAGTGCTTGTCGAGCAAATTTATCCATTTGTATGTAGTAGAACTCCCTAAATATTAATTTGAATCTCTCGTCCAAAAAAATTTCAGCAGCACCTCCCCAGCCCTAGGTCGGAATGATTTCGGGCACACGTAGTCGCCGCGCGACTCCGTTCCAAAATCACTCTGACCTTCTTTGTTAGCTAGTGTGGAAATATGGTTATGACTGGCTACTGATGCTGTTCATGCATGTGTATGTAATCGAATCCGCGGCGCGCAGCTCTCAATATGATGCGTCCTTGAGTACGAATTGTTTGATTAGATGGCCTGAACGTCGCCGCAGCCGCCGCGGGCTGATACACCTGTGGTTTGACCATAATCGGCCGTGCGCAAGCGGATCACCTTTCAGTCATTCGAGAAAGCATATTCATAACACTTCAAGTTTGTTTACATAGTTTTGTTAAGAGATAGACAGCAAGAGCTGGGAAAGCCTCTGCGTTTATGCCCTTTTTTGCCTAGTGGCAAAAACTACATAAAAACACTGTGAATAATCACAGCCTCCTATCATAACCTTTAAAAAAATCCTATTAGCTTCAACCGACCCCCTCCCCTCCCCCCCCCCCACCCATTCCCCCTCTTCCCTTTTCCCCAGATACATCATGCACCTCCGTTCCCTCTCAAAACTTCTGAAACTAGTACTCGAATACTGGCCGGTTTTCTGTGCCGCGTATAGACAATACTCTAAGCCCCGCTAGTTGATCCGCTTATCAGCCTCCTACCGTATGCCCAACTCATCGTTTCGAGGCGATTACCCTACAAATCTCGAAGGCGCTCGTTTCACAGCCACGTTTTGCGGCGGAAGGTTGAGAGAGTATAGAAAAGGTAGATGGTACTTTACATAAACAAAAACAGTCATAGATCAGTGTCTCTGTAAAAGGGTTTGATGGAAGTCTATTCAGTCGATTGACTCAGGAGGATATTTTCTTGAGGAAAGTGAGTCTTGAATGGAAGTCTTAGGACAAGATGTTGCCAAGTGCGCCAAGAGAATAACAAGGAAAGACAGAACTTCCGCAAGACAGAACTCAAATCTCCCCCCCCCCCCTCCCCGCCTCCCTACAAAGTCCCCAACCCCTAAAAGTCGTTGAGAATATCAAGCCATTTCACAGCTTGCGTCTCCTCTCCCCTTTCTCAAACATTCCTCCAATCTCAGCCGTGTTTACTCAACTGCCGCGCCATACCGTAACGATTCTATTCTTCCCAATTCTGCCTCTCTCACAGCCTTCTCAATCTCTCCACTGAAAAAAGCCCTCAATTCCTCTAAAGGAAGCGCTTTCAGCATATGCACATCGCCGCTCGATCGTTCATATCGAATTCTAATCGTATCGAGTCGGCGCGTCGCGAGCTGCGCCTCGCACGTCTTTGCAATGGGATTACTGTAGTGCGTGACAAATACCCTCTAAGACCCATTTCCGACGACGACTCGCAAGGTCCGGTGTCGCGACAACGCGTACTTCAAGTTGGATTTTCTTCTTATGCAGTGAAAGTGAAGCATTTGACTGTGGGAAGGAACTTTCCACAATACTGAAAGTTTTCTAACACCGGAATTTCGCCTCAGGAACCCCCAAACATCCTTCAGTAGCCCTCCTCAAGCTCAGCTGTCACTACATCTGGCACCTTCATAAATCTTTGAGAAACTCGTATGTTATCGTCATGTCAATCGCGCGCTCAGCGGGATGCTCCCTAGCCGTTTATCTGGCAGCAAATAAGGCGTGAACGGAAATGACAAGAAAATGTGCGCGATACTATCGCTATTTCTTCAGGCAGCAACAAAATATAAGCAGGAAATCGTTTCAGGACTCACCTAAAATTGCTGAACCATTTCACCAATTGTGCTGTGTTGTTTTTATTGAATCGCACATCTGGGAAGTACGACTTGAGGAGCGTAGAATTTGGGTAACGAGTGTAGAAGAACATCAATTTGGCTTTTCTTAAGTGTACAGGCGTAAGTGTTGAGCTGAAAAAAATCAATATTCAGGTGGTCGGTCTACCCAAATTCATCTAAACACACCTTTGGCCTCCATCATAACCTCCACATTCACTAGTTTCATCCGAATTGGTGGGACTTCCTTCTCTTTCTCCAAAGGTTGCACCGCCGTACAACGGATGACCAACCATTGTAGGTGGGAAGTAGTTAGACAATGGCGTAGTTTGTGACAACTAAAGAATAGAGACTAGTTTGGAAAATCGATAAAATCAATAGTCTTCAAAACTTACCACAGGGCTGCTTCTCGTGCTACTTGGTGATCCTTCACGAACCATAGGTGTGCCACCATTAAGTTTCCGAACACTATCGGTAACCTAAACGTACCACAATTAAGCCTACAAAGGATGCATTACCGTAGCTACCGTACCTTGCTTCTTTTCTTTTTGGGACCATCATCATCAAATGGGCGGCGCATCTGATTCAATGCTGCCAGGGAATTAAACGCGTTTAGAGGCGTGGGAAAAATCCCAGCTGGTGGCACTAGAACTATGACTTAGTTAATAACAGTCTTAGTCAACGAAATAAGATATTCCTTACAATTACAATGTGGATTCAGTCCAAAATGAGCAGCTAATGGGTTCGGAGCTGGAAACAGCGGGTTGAACATGGGTGGCACGGCTGCGGGTCGAGCTGCCGCTGCCATTTCTTGTTGTATACGAGCCATTTCGTTTGCTGCCCATTCTTTGAGGACCTAAAATTGATTTTTTCAGCCAAATTTCCGTCGATTCATATATACTGTAAATCCACACCTTATCGATTGATCCTGACAAGGAATCAATAATTTCAGTCTTCAAAGTCTGTGCAAGCTGCGAAAAATCGCGTGCTCTCGGCTTTTCGGGAATCTACAAAGTAGAAGCGCATTATGAAACCTACCCAAAATTGGAAATAGCAACCAAAACTCACAATTTCCGGTTGTGGGAAGAATTTCTTCTGTTGTTCGATAAGATTACTATACAACTTTCTTTGAGTTTCAAACATCTCATTCAGCTTCAGGTTCGGCTGACTCAATTGAGATTGGAGGGCGCTCAGACCCTCGAACTGCCTTGCACTATCACTTTCTGGCTTTTCGTCCAATTTCGCCGAAGCGTCCGCTTCCTGTTCTTCTCCTAGTGTGTCTTCAGCTTCTTCGCACTTATCCTCATCATCTTCAGGTATTTCCTCCTCGACGTTCTTTTGAGGTTGGAAGGATTTCCGCTTGGATGAGGACGATGACACAGTCGAGTTGGCGCTTCCGTTACTCAACCGTTGATGATCAGACACGGGCGCATCGTCTGTTGCGATTTCAGTAACCTTAAAAAATTTGATTCGATTTACCATGCGGATGCTAGATAGAAGAGCTTCGGATGCTTTTATCGGAATCGCTGACAAAGGAAGATATTGATTACCTGATCCTCTGCACTTTCAACATCAAGCTGATCTATTTCTTCAGACGAATCGGGCATATCCATTTTCTATAAATTAAGACTTGAGCGAATGGATTGGTGATAAAGCAATACATCAAAAGGTCAAAAGTGTTATCCAAAACTGCTAACACATATTCATAAGCTTTTTATGTGAATTATGTACTTCGTTTCTTTGTGAAAAGTGAGTAAGTGATAGATACTTCCATTTGCTCAAAGAATCAAGCAGGAAGTTGTAGAACTACATCAAAATTTTTTCTAAATATAATTCTTTTTCAAAGCATATAAGTCCAAGAAAAAGTGCATATGCAACATCACAGCAAGCTAAGGCTTCAAACCAATCTCCCCCCCCCCCCTCCTCCCCCGCCCTTATCACACCCCATCTTTTTGCAAAAAAAAATCCAGTCATAATTAAATAGCAAATTCATGACTCCCCCCCCCCCCCAATTAAAAGAAAACACCTAATTGCAAGGTAAGCGGCTCTATCATCAAAACGAAACCGAAACACTGAATTATTACTGAACTTCCATTTCTGTTCCCAATAAGACGTGGGCGGAGTTTCGCTGCCAATGTGGATTGGCCGAGTTTTCACTTGACCTTCTACTAGTTGAGACGATAAGATATGGACGTAGTGAAAGCGAGAGGAACTTATACATTATGCCCGCTATTTTACGATGCAAGGCGATTGTTCCCGACGACACCCATTATGAGATACTTGAGAACATCGTCTTCATAGCAACAAATGGCATTTCAGCAAAAGACGATGATGACCCCGATTCCCGCCTCCTTGGCGCTTAAGATGTATCAAAAAGCTTTACAGCTATATCTGGAAACAAATTTCAAATTTTTTCTATTCTCCAATTCCTGGTTGTATGGATAAAGCAATAGAAATCCCACACAAAGCCTTGCGTCAGCAACCAGCGATATTTTTTCCGCAAAAGGTCTCGAGATTTCAAAAATCAAGAACAGCTGCACTTGCATAGAGGAAGCTTTCATGTTATCCCCTATCACCTTAGTAAAGAATGGAAGGACGAGTTTTCATTCTCCGCTTATCTACTGTAAGTAAAGTATACAAGAATTCGATAAAGGAAAGACTCTAGATATTATTTGAATTTTTGAAGTTCAGCCTCGGGTCATGAGATCTGAAGCTTACCGTATGCGGACATTTGCTTATGCATACTCTAAGTGAACTAAATTGATATCATGATATTCTACATCAGCTTTGAAAGAAGTACATAGCAACAAAGACTGAAGTTGTTCTACAACGCTACAACATTGAATTCTCTTCGGGACCTCCGCACCGCATGAAATCGCTGGGACCTTCACATAGGTGTGGCAATAGTCAGTTCTGCGAAATCACACCGACTTTTCAGAAAAAAGTATCCTTTTCCCCCACTTTACGATTTTTTTTCAAACCATAAAACTCACATCATTATCCTTACAGCTAAGATCAGTTGGTTGTTCGTCTTTGATAAAGTCCAGATCCGTTGTCTGACTCATCCAAGGAAACAATGCACTCATCGCATCCGAAGCCATATCGTCACGAAATCCCTTGCCTTGTTGCTGGAAAAATCGTCACGAAAGATGAGAATACAATAGCGGCGAATCATCGATTATCTTTGAACTTCAAATACAGTTATATACAAAAGTGCACAGTTTTTGTGGTCATTATTAGTATGGCCTATTTACAAAATGAAAAGTAATCTGTACTACTTTTATTATCTCGCCTCTCTTCTTTCGAGCTGATGTATACTTCGCCCCTAAGCCTATAGGAATTATTATAATGAAAGAGAAAGAAGAGACGCAGAAGGATTAGCGCCAAGTAGGGGCGATGGCGCTGAAGAAAATTTCGCAAGTTCATGATATTACTGCATCTACTTAGAGAAAACAGGTTTCTCTCCGCAGGAAAAACTAATCATGCAGAATTTCTCTCAGCGCTACAGTAAGACACACACCAACTCTAAAAAAAAGAAAAACCATTCTCACCTGATAGCTATTTCTTGGTTCACCGGCGTCAACTCGTTGTCGTTGCCGTTTCAATTTAAAACCACCACCTTGACGTTGTACAGCGAATGGAGTCGGGTGTATTTGGTGTGAATGCGGATGATGCTGTTGCTGGAAGAGGTACGAGAAGTGACCAAATGGTGATTGGCTCAGTTGGGGTGGAGTTGGCCCCGAGGACATACGTACACTGAAATTCAGAACTATGCCCTCCTTTAGTCTCAAAGCGAGCAGGGTTACGAACGAATATGAAAGAGTAGACTTCGAAAAGCTGAGGTATTATCTGCTGATGAATAAATGAAAAAGGAAAGAAGGATTTGAAAGCGCCTATTCAAACTCAAAAGGTCAACGCTTCATGTATTTTACTCAGGCCGCTGCTTCCGCATTTCTCTACGTATATTATTGACTGAAACTTGACGTCATAAGGTATATTTGAGTAAAGTATTCAAATCAGTAGATGTACTATGAACTTGCACAAATTGCTGTCTTTGAATTGGTTTGGATTATTCCGAGTTTACCACATCTTCTGGCTCATTTATTCTGAAAAGCTGGCTCCGAGGCTGTTTGAAAATCTAGAATTTTTGAGCCTTGCACTTCTGCTTCAAAATAAGAAATTATAACCAACAAAGTAATCAAAAACATTCTATATAGCCAATATTGATAGTGACTTCCGTAGCTGCGAACGAAGGCTTTTTGTAAAAATCTACGTGTTTGTACTTATTTGTCTATTTTTGTAACCTAGAAATATTTGCTGACTTCAAATATGGTCGCGTGTTCATAGCCTTGTGAGTGAAACTTTTTTATTCCTTAGAAGTATCTGAATCGTTGACTACCCCTTTTTTTTCAGGGACGCAAGGTGGAGTGGGTGGAGGGGGGAGGGGGAATGAACCAAAAAAATCTAGTGTAATTCTTTCAGAGATGAGAGCAGACGGGCTCCCTGACGTATACCTTCCCACAAGATAATCTAAACCGAAGTTCACATACCTTGTTCTACTGAGAAGCACCGGCGACTTGTCCAATAAAAATACCGTCTTATGACAATTACAGTCGACGGCAATCAATGAGAAGAGGAGCGATTCGTAGGGAGGGAACGGAACGAGAGCAGTCAACTGCGAAAACAACGACCGTTCAAGCCGTTTCGGTGCGTCAACGACGAGATGAGGTGACGACCACGGCGGGGCTGTGGAAGAGGCGATGCGAGACGACGACGACGGGAGGAGGAGGCTGATGCTCTCCCGAGGTGGCCGTTCAGTCGAGTCGAGGGATTCGGGTGTGGAGAATATATGCGCGGAGCGGGTAGGTGCTGTAGGCGTTGGTGGTACTCTGGCAGAAGTGAGAGCGGACGAACTCGACGGGGGCCTTCGGCTGCGTTACAATGAACTACTCTCAATCCTGCGTGTGTGTGTTCTGTCCTTCACCAACACCCCCAGCACTACACGTCGTCGATCGTCGTCGACACACCGTTATTGTCATATACCACGTTATTAGATTTCGTGGCGACGGAGGCAGCACGCTGTCAGGCCAAGCGCTGCCAAACACTCTCCACACACACTTCAACGCGATACATACACCACCTATACACATCTCACCAGCCCTATTATGCTCACGCTCAAATCGCAATATCTCGCCGAAATACAGTAGATCCCTCGGCACAAATCTCATACATTGCACGTCGTCAGCTGCCGCGACACTGGCACCGGTAGCTCAAGCTGAGACGCGAACAATGACGAAGTGTGCCGCGAGGGCTTTCTATGGATTCGCGTATTTGCGAATAGAGATTGGATAACCCGTTGACAAAGTGCTTACACGCACGATCCTCAAGGGATACGCACTATTCAGATTTTCACGTATTTAGTAGTTCTCAAATCGATTCTGAGAACTTCAAGCCACGGAATTGTAGACATGGCCCAAGATCAGCGGTCTTTTGTAAAAAAGCTAATGGGGGCCTATTTTGAACAATTTTTGAGACCTTATGGACAATACATATAGAAATTGGTAATTGACCAATGTTCTTCTTCGTGAAAAATCACGGTATGAGGATGAGGAGGAGGGGGGGGGGGGGAAGAGATGGAGAGAGAGAATTAAGAGGGGGGGGGGGAGGGAAGGGGGAAGCGCGTTGCTCGTACTCAGACTTTGAACGAATTTTTTTTCGCGCGGCGAAACAAGGATGATTAGAAGAGGTGGAGGAAGGGTGGGGGAGGAGGGGGAGGAAAGTTATGGACAATTGTGGTTGTTTATTCAGACGTTTCCCTACAAGTTTCTCATCTTATAAAAAACGTTTTACAACAAAACTAGCCAAAGCATCCTAGCATCCGAAAGAATTATGTACGGACTCTCAAAAAAACCATCTTTGAAAGCAAAGGATAACCCAAAAAAGCACTGATACTCAAAATTTTGCTAACATTAAACTATCCTTGTGAAGTTCACACTTCTTAAAATAAGGATTTTTCGAACTCCCTTTTTCCTCGCTAACTAAGCTCAATGAATCTAACATCTTCAGACCCCAAGCTCTCCATTCTCCATTATTCATCCCTAACCAACCGCATATCAAAAAATCTCATTTACGTCCCATTCTCCCCGCCATCCATCACAAATTCGACTCAAAATCGCGACCAGCTCCAGAGATCTTATCATGCGCGTAGAAACACACACGACTCGTATGTTAATTTCTCCCGGCGATCGCATCGAAACCGTACACAACAGCATCGCGAGAATCAGCCGAGAGACAGCAGATCGATGACGAAGGAGAGCGAGAGACAGCCACCGAAGTGCTGCTCTGTTCCGACGGCTGTGGAATGGACCGCGGAAGAACGCGAGGAGGATCGCGGTGCTGCCGAGTCGGCATGATTCACTCCTGAGAGGATTACGCAGATAGACATTGACAATAACGGTACCATCGTCATACATCAAAAAAGAAGCGTTTTGTGGAGGGGGAACTTTGGGCAGAAAAGATCACTTGATTTACGAAATTAATTCGAAATTCAAAAAAAGAATGGTCATCATTGATTATGTGCCCAAATCTAGTCGTCAACAGAATTGGTAATAGAATGGCCATATGGAAAGTTACAGCAGCAAGTTAATGCTAATTCTACTGAGGTAACTTTTCCCCATAAAAAGGTTATTTTATCTTTCTTCAACGTTTGTAAACATACGCTGTGACTTTTTACATCCTTTTATAAAAAGCTGGCATTATAATATCAGTTGTGGAAAGTCTTGATAAAGTCAACAAACGTCTAACAGGAAATTCTGGCCATTTTCTCGGACTTTTTTAAACTTCAATTTTTTTACGAGCATCTTCAACATCATAGCTGCAAGCCTCCTACTTCAGAAAAATTCCTCAAAACCATTTCGTTTTTGAAGAAGATCGGTGGGATCTCGTTTTTTTTGAAAAACTTCATCGCGGCACCTTACGCTTCGTAATCTCATCTTAAAGATTCTGATAAAATTTTTGTTCTCTGAGATATTACCTACTTGAACACGAAAACTCCTACCTGATCTAAATGCTAAACTTAAGAAATCTTAAGGGATAAAGAGAAATTTATCTCACGCATGAATACGGCATGCTTTCATAGTTAGAAAATAGCGATCATGAGTACAGTGGAAGAAGCCATCATCTCCTTCCATAGCCAAGACTAATGTGCTTGATTTGTGCTATGGCGCAAAAAAATACCCCAGAAAGGCAACAATTGTATTCTTTGTATGCTAACGATGCTTGCGACATTATGGCGAAATTAATTCGCCGAAGATGTAACGAACGCGTCCGGGAGGAGAATTTCTTCACGTAATCTCTTCGAATTCTAATCGCTTTTTTGTTCGTAGCGCCATTCGCTGGAGCACCATCGCTATTGATAGGTGAAGAACACGGGGCAGTCCTAGGGGGTCTCAAAGGGTGCTGCCTGATTCTCTTCACAGCTGCATCAATGAGGGCATGAAGTCAATATGAATCAAGAGTGCAATCAAACCGCGTACGACGCGGGAATTGAGGTGATCTAAGTTCAATTCGACTACAATGTAAGGACGAGCACGGGACAAAGCAATGGCTGTGACAAGGAGCTCTATAGCGAGAAATTACTTTCGACACGAAAAGTGCAGCATAGGACCAGGACGGGCGAGCGGTGGAGCGCACGCTCGCGCCCCTCACTCCACGGTGTATGTGAGTGTGTGTGACTACTCAGATTAGCCGTCACCTCCGTAAGTGGCCTCGGCGACGATTACTGTAGCCGGAAAGAGGCGGAGCTTCTTGGGCGACGGCTGGGAGGTGGAGGAGTGGAGGCAGCGGCCGAGGAGTCACCAGGACGAGAATTTTCGGCGAAATTCACCGAATTTCGAGTGACGTGGAAAAGATGCTGTTTCAGAGGAAGGCAAGGATAAAATTGTCCGGGGGAAATGTAATACACCTTCAGACTTGATCTGAATCCAATAGCATTGCTGAAAGCATGAAAACCCAGATAGAAAGTCACTCTTCATAATCGAAAAACGAAAGCATCACGCAGCATTTTAGGTCCTCTCTTCTTTGAGAGTAACGCAAAGAGCCAGAAAATGTCAAAAAAATTTTTAAGGGAAGAAACGAAACGAAATTTTGGGAAAATTAATATTTTCGGGGATCTCGTGTTCGACACTTTCGATTCGAATTTGTTATTTTGACTTGCTCTAACCGCGTTCGTTTTTTTTTTTCATCGCAAATATATAATTTTGATTTTTGAGAAACTGATAAATTACTTTTTTATCAAGCTATAGAAAAACAATGAGAAAGCATACTAATATGTGAACAGCTGCTTTACTTCTTACAGACAAAACCTTACACTAGATAGTCAAAAGGAGTGAATTCCTTTTCTTTTTCCAAGAATACAACTCCAGAGATTCGAGAAAGCTCGAGAAGTGCACTGTTGTAAACAGCAGCTCTGATTCTTTCAACTAATGAACAATTACACATAGTAAGCTTTCTTTTCCTTCATTCAATAAACAAACAGGTAAGTATCAATACCAATCATTTCTAGCATTCTTTTTTTCAGGAGAGGATTTGTGTGACAGAATCGTCAACGCAAAGTGCAACTTTGGCTAGAAATCAAATGTGACGCAAATTTACGTACTAATTACCCGCTAGTGCAAACAAAAGCTAGCTAAATAGTTCAAAGCAATTATCGACTGAAAAATGAGCTTTACAAAACTATTGTTGGCATGATATGA